GCTACTCCCCCAGCCCCCAGAGCGAAATCAGTGCCAGAATCATGTTGTTCAGCAACCAAGTTGGGACTGTCTGTAACTCATTCCCAAATCCTCAGTCTCACTCAGGAGCATTTTCTCCAGTGATAAGGCTTCATCAGGAAACACAGCTGGATGGAGGAAGGAAATTCTGAGAAGCAAAAAAAAAAATAAAAAAATAGTGGGGGTTCCAGGAAGTTCAACCAGATAGGAACTAATGGAATTTGTTTTTCTGTCTCCCCAGCTCCCAGTGTTCCTGAGCGAGTGAGAAAATCAGAGGGAAAGTGGGGGGCAAAAAACAGCGTGGCAAGATCCTACCCTGCAAAACAGGTCCTCTCTGCAGGTCTCCAGAGAGCATCATAATTACAATTCAATATTTTCGATCACTTGCTGCTCTCCCTGGGAAAAAGTGCAGATGTTTTCAATTTAGGTCCACTCTGAAGCCCAGCCATTGTTTTCTTCCCCTCTCGTTTTTTTGACTTGTATTTTTTTTCTTTTTTAAACAAAGGTCCCTGTATAGTTTATTAAGGAGGTTTGAGTTGGGCACATGATTTATCAAAAATAATTAAAAAAAAAGACTGCTGTGTTTGACATTCAGAATTAAGGGTTGCAAGTGCCTCTGATTAGTAACACATATCCCAGAACCATCAAAACAACAGCTTCAACTTGTATCTTGGTTTTATTACTTCTAGAGAAACTCCTTTTGACCCTCAGGGGCAAACAGCATTTCCTTCCATACCCTTTGCAATTCTACTCTTTTGCAATCTTTACAATCCTCCAGCCAACTCCCTCTTCCTTTGATAAGGTAGATAATCCAAGTTTCAACATTCCCCACTTACTGCAGCAGTGCTGGTGTGAAACAAGAGAAAGGATCCATCACTCAGATCACTCCTTGGCCTCTGAGTGAAAAACTGAGTCCGAGACCAGCTCTACAGTTAAGGCAGCTCAGATTAAGCTCATACAAAACATCTCCTGCCAAAGGCTACTCCACAGGTCAAGATCATAAAATGACTGCTAATGACCACGCTGGAAAAGCCTGGGCAGGGCTAATTGGAACAGTGGCTTTGTGACACATCTGATGTGCTGGGACACTTTATCACAGCACCAGTTCAGAGGTGACTATTTTTGACAAGCACTTCAGAAGACTCAGATTATCTTGCTTGTCCAGAGATCGTGTCACTGAGCCTTGAGTCCTTCCACTAATTTCCCTTTGACCACAGATGGAATTCCCCGGGTTTTGCTTTTTTCCTCCTTTTTCCTAATCTTCAAGTCTGGTGTGATCCAATCAACCAGCCAGACTTAGGACGACACCGGGGAGGTTTAGACTGGATATTGGGAACAATTTCTTCATGGAAGGTGTTGTCAAGCACTGTCACAGGCTGCTCAGGGAAGCAATGGAGTCACCATCCCTGGAAGTGTTCACAAAAGTGTGGATACGGACATGGTTTAGTGATGAACATGGTGGTGGTGCTGGATGACGTTTGGATTTCATGATCTTAAAGGCCTTTTCCGACCTTAATGACTCTATGATCTTCTGCTCCTTAAGGGATCTCTTCCATCCATCCACTGAATTTTGTCACAGGCTTAAACTGGAGGCTTTAAGGAAGGCTGACAATCAAAACTCAGCTGGACAAACTCCTGAATATCTTGCCAGAGCTGACCCTACTTTGAGCAGAGTGACTGAACCAGAAACCTTCAAGACTCCTCCAATCTCAGCAATTCTGTCACTGTGAAAAGCAGTTCCTGCATCTTTCCATGAAGTTACACCCAAGATTGTTCTGATCCCGGATTGAAACAACTAGAAATATGGGAAAAAGAATTATGCTGAATGTCTTTGTCAAAAGATCAAGAGTGGAATGACAACTGTTGTGAGCTGAGGATTGGTCATTCAGTCCAAATCAAATCTGTGCTGGAGGCTTCTCAAAGTGCACCTCTGAACAAAGAGGAGGGATCTGATACCTTGGAAAGAGCCTTAAAGACAGGACTTCAAGCTATAGAATCATGGAATGGTTTGGATGGAAGGGACCTTTAAGGCCATCCAGTTCCACCCCCTGCCATGAGCAGGGACACCTGCCATTATCCCAGGTTGCTCCAAGCCCTGTCCAACCTGGCCTTGGACACTTCCAGGGATGGGGCAGCCACAGCTGCTCTGGGCAACCTGTGCCAGGGCCTCACCACCCTCACAGGGAAGAATTCCTTCCCAATATCCCATCCCACCCTGCCCTCTGTCAGTGGGAAGCCATTCCCACTTGTCCTGTCCCTCCAAGCCCTTGCAAATTGTCTCTCTCCATCTTTCCTGTAGGCCCTACCCAGGGCTCTGCTGGACACCAGGACTCTTCCTACATTATCTGCACACAGGAACAGGCAGGAACAACTCACTTCCAGGAGAATGACAGCACTTTCCTGCTCCTGTAGTGAGCTCTCTGCCACGCCAGGGAAGTGCCCAGAGCTCAGGGATTTCAAACCAGAAAGCAAACAGAGAACTCCTGCAAATCCTCACAGTTCCATTTGTGCCACCTTAAGGACCAGGCCCTGGAACATGATGGAAAGGGATCATGAGAGTTCATGGGTGCAGTGAAATGAAATTGCTCAGAGCTGGAGGGCCTGAGCAGTGCATTTTTTGTTGTGTGCAAACTCCACAGATCTCTGACCCATGAAGAAAAGGAGAAGGGGAGGCTGGGGGAAGCAATTGTGCTGCCTCTGGCTCTCCCTCCCTGTGGCTGCTCAGCAGCAGACAGTAGCCAGAGGATGACAATGCAGCTCCAAATGACATTATCTCCTGCCTGGATTTGCCTGTGGAAATCTGGGTGCTTAAGAGGGAACAGCCTGTGACTTTTTTTGCCAGAAGCTTGAATCCTTTCAGCGAGGGGAAAAAGGAAATCTGCACAGGAGCCACCAGTCAACCACTGGGATTAGCAAAAACATGCACAGAGTTATACACCCTTCATAAGCAGCCTCAAATCCACGTCATATGCAGTGTCTATCCATGAAAAAGTAAGTGTTCTCCAGGATAAAGCCCCAGAAGCAGCACTTTCCAAACCTGAGTTCCAACAGATATGGAACATGTGGAGAAAACAAGACCAGCTATTTTGGACGACTCATGGGTGGGCAAAACCCCCTCCCTTAACCACAGCACTGCTGAGTTGCTTTGAATCCCAGACTGTCCTGCTTCATCTTGCTCTGACAGCAAGGGAGCCAAGCAGCAGATCCATGGCATATTTAGGGGATCAGAAGTGTTAACCAACAGGGGTCCAGGGGAAAAAGAAAATGGAAGAGAATCCAAACATGGATCCATCTGGAGCTGGGCCAGCCCAGGGTGAGGTGGGGAGCACAGCAGAGCATCCTGTGCCCCAAGAGCCCGCTCAGGAAACACTTGAGCACCAAGTGACAAGCAGGCCTGAGACCTCCTGCAAACCAGAGGAGGATTCTTGTGTGTGGGAATCAACTCCCTTAACCACAGCCCTGTGGAGTTGCTTCAAATCCCAGATTGTCCCGCTTCATCTTGCTCTGACAGCAAGGGAGCCAAGCAGTGGATCCATGGCATATTCACAAGTGTTAACCAACAGGGCTCCCCTTGGTGCAAGTTCATCCACAGCATTTGAGAGCTCCAACAGCTCTCAGGGATTTGAAGTCCCCAAATTCTTATTTCAAGACAGTAATAAGCTAAGATGGGTTCTGTGGTGGCTGATGGCCTGGTCCCAAGCTCTTACCTTTCAAAACCACGTGACTTGTAACAAAGGTTCCCACTGGTTTTTGCAGTGGCAGACAAGACAGGGCAGTTCTTAGTTTGTTTAACTTTCTTCCAGCCTCCTGGTTTAATTAGCTGTCAGTGTATTTTACAGAGAACTCAGGAACAGACTTGACATCTTTCTCTGTCACCAATGAACTTACCAACCACTTCAAAATCTACAGCAGATTCACAGGAAATATAACACTATATGTGACAATGGCACAAATCCTTCAAACTGTTCAAGTGAAGATACACCACTGAAGTATTCTTTATTTTACAGAGGTTTTTCCAGGGAACAATCCCCAGTGGATCACTATTCCTTCTTCACCAGCTCCCCTGTCATTCTACAGGTAAGAAACCTTGTATTATTTCCACTACTATCCCAGACCTCTCAGCACATTCTCCCCTTATTCCTCTCCTCCCAAAGCTCCCAGAGGCCTGATGTGAAGTTCCAGAACAATTTCCAAGAGTACTGCACGAGAAGCAAGGTGTCAAACACATACAGGGTATTCCAGGAACTTCCACTTAATTTCAAGCCCCTTCTTTCCCTCTAAACAAGAGACTTCAGACAACTCGGAACCAATTCTTGCAACACATTCACTTGTGCTTTTCCAGGTGTTGTTTTTTCCACAGGATTTTTCTGGATTTTTCATGTTACAGTGTCTGTTATTTTATACACCGATACAGCAGGTCTGTTCTCTGCAAGTGCAAAATGCTAATGAGCACATAAATAAAATAAAAACCAGTCCACAGCTTGCTCTCATTACACAAAGTCAGGGGAAAGGTCTTCTCATTAAATATTTATCAGTGTTCAAGCCACCTTTGAATCCTTTGCAGCTGCTCAGCCTTTCCCAATTTTTGTGAGAATGAGGGCAGTTTGTTGAGATTGCCCAGTTGCTACTGAATATCCAATTTTGTTTTGGATATTTATGGATCTTTCATGGAATCATTTAGGTTGGAAAAGACCTCTTAGATCATCGAGTCCAACCTCTGACCTTTCAGATGAAGCAAAATTCTCCTTGGTGATGTGCATTTCCTAACAACTGTGAAATAAAAATACTGGAGTTTCCTAACTCCAAAGAAGTTACATCACAATAATTCACAAAATATGGATTAAATTCACTCTTATTTCCTCACAGTTCAAGCACAGCCTTTCTAGTAGAAACAACACATTAGCAGCAAAACATTGAAATACTGTTTTGTTATGAGGGATAATAAGCAAGGAAACAAGAGAAAGGTGAAGCTTCTTGTTTACCTGTGTCTTCCCACTCTTCTGTCTCCTCCCAAATATGCAGGACAGATCATGTTCACTGCAGGATGAGAGGTCCTTACCTGGAAGGGGTAAAGAGAGGGAAAAAAATCCCAAACCTTCACATCTGGTGATGACAGGGACATTTTGGTAACACAAACTGACCCACAGAGATGGAGGAATTGCTTTTGGAGGCGAACAACAATCAGGAGATGAATAAAAATCAGGAACTCCAGGCTGGACAGGGCTTGGAGCAACCTGGTCTAGTGGAAGGTGTCCCTGCCCATGGTAGGGGGTTGGAACTAATGATCATTAAGGTCCTTCCAACCCACACCATTCTGTGATTCTGTGATGAAGACACTAAATGAAGGTACTCATGAGGAAATGTGTGTATGTGTAGGATCTTTGGATTCTCAGGAGGATTCTTTGTCTCTGACAGAATTAGGGAGTTGTAGGTCCTCCATACAATGAAAAAAAAAAATCCATCTTTACTCCATGGGGACTTTCCTTTGATTCCTGATGTTGCTTCTGAAAAACAAAACCTCCATCTCTGCAATACACTGGATTATTCCAACTCAAAACAATTTTGAGGGTGAAGCAAAGATTCCCAGCAGGACCATTATTCCCATCTGGTTGTTGTGTGGCTAACTGGACATCAAATATGGAGCAGGGAGGGGGAAGCAGAAGGGTGTAATGTGATATTCAGAGTTTCAAGCAAAAGTTTTGCCAATTCCACAGTGCAGGAACCTTTATATTGGGTTTTCCACAGCTTCTCTCAGAAAAACCTCTTAAAAAAGCTCAGCAAAAGTTAAAGATTTAAACAAAATTAGTCCGGACAGCTCAACTAATTAGGAGTCTGCTGGGGTCTTAATCACTTGATTTTCTGATTCCAAAATCAGTGACCTCAAAATGAATCTTGTAGTGGACAAAAAAACCCAAACAACCCAAAATCTGACTATTTAACCTGTTTGTTTTCGTCGGGATCCTGAACTGCCCACAGAGGGCAAACACACACATCAACCTAGAGGAGAAAGTGTGACCCAGCTTCCTGGTGCCTCACTGCACAGCCTCTAAATGTCCTTACCCAAGCAAGCTGGATGAGACTGGTGGTTGTTTTCAGCTTTATCTTGGCCAAGGCTTGGAAAATGACACCTAAAATCCTCCTGCTCCTCCTCTTACCCTACACTGTCTGCCCGTGCCTTCCCCTGCTCCTCTCTCTCTAACAGAAAACCAACTCAGCTGACATTCATAACCTCCAGCAGCATCCCAGTGGAACAGCTGCTGGAAAAGCAGCTGCAGACAGTGTTTTAATCTCAGACTGGTGTGTATTCCCAGACCCAAGGGTTGTGTGTGCTCCCTGTGTCTCTCCAGCCCCGCAAACGGAAGCTGCATTTTGTGCCGTCGCTGTTCCCTTCTCCAGCTTTTGTGTGAGCTTGTCTTGTTTAGTCTGAAAGGAAGCAGGATCAGGCTTGAACAACAAGGGCCACAACAACACCAGCCCTTCTCAAATAACTTTTCCTCTTTCCCTGAAAAAGGACAATTTCCCTGGTTTAGACCACAGAGGGTGCAAGCAAACAAGGGGCTGCCTTGTGGAAACACGACCAAACAAATAAGGGGTATTGTGAATATGAAAGCCTTGATCTGTATTTTACATGCTCAAAAGACACTTCTTTTTTCCTCTATATTTAGCAAAAGGTTAAATCCAAATCAAAATAAATCCTCTTTGCCACTCCCTCAAACAGGCCATGGCCTCTGCAAGCCCTGAACCAATTTAATTGTTTAATGTCATAAAGTGGCAGGGTCGAGTTAACAGGTTTGACTTCAAGGCCAATTTATTTAATCAAAAATCCCAAACCCCAACATAAAAAAATTTGGCCTCCATTCAGACATCAATTAGCTCTGTTTCAGCAGAGGCATTTGCTGTCCAAAAACATTGCACAGAGCTTTCAGTTTAATACATCAGCCATTAGTGGAACTGATCCTATCCATACCCTGAAACAGGTACACACACCATGTGCATGTGGGTGTGTGAAAGGGGAGCAAAGGAACAGAGAAAGGATTCCAGAATTGTCAGGAGCCAAACCCAGGGATGACTGAAATAATGTAATTGCTCTAAGGAAGAAAGAAATTACTAAACTCCATGAGTTTTTGATAGTTTTTCTGGCCACCAACCACTGTCCTAATTTATCCCATAAAGTATCTGGTGGACGTAAGAGGGCTTTCCTGCCTTCCTTCAGGTTTAATCTGATCCCTGATCCCATCCTCATGATCTCTGAGCAGGGTTACTGGAGATCTCAGGGGATAGTGCCACGCAGATCCTAAGTCATAAGTCACTCCATCATCATCTTTCCCCCCTCCCATCCCCTGCTCACGCACCCACAACTTGGAATATTCGCTGTTCCTTTACCCAGCTGGTGGCTCCTTCAGGTAGGAACTGTTTTATTCAACTAATCGGCCTAAAGCCATCCAAAATTACCCAAAATAAAGAGAGATAGCACATTATAGCTCTAAGCACGTTGCTGCAGGGGGTATTCCTAAACCAAGATTTAACTTCAGAAGGCAACAGATCACCCTGAAAGGGTTTGTTCTAAGCTTGGCCAGAGCTTACGAAACAACAAAACCCCTCTTACCTTTGGCAAACTTCATATAATGGACACGTTTCTTGGAAGATTTGGATTTTTCTTCGAGGCTGAATGTCTTTTTCTGATTTTTCACTGAGGGCTCTAAAAAAAAAAAAATCCAAGGAAACAGGTTCCAACCCTGTTAGAGGCACTTTAACCACCCCATTCAAACACCAGTGTATTTAACTTTCTCTCTCAAAACCCAGTCTCAACAAAATATCACAATATATTAGTGAAGGAAGCATGGCAAGTTTTGTCTGAGACATGTCACTGCTTGATTTTTTTTTGCCACATCCCTTTCCCTTCCCGTTTCCAATCCAATGTAGTTTGAAAAGGCAGATACAGGCACTCCAGGTCTAAGGCAGATCCATCTCTGTGGTTAGAAAAGAGTAACAGGTCAGGGTTTATTGTGCTGTTTGTTACAAAATATCCCCAGTGCCAAAGTCTGAGAAAGATGTAAGAAATAGTGCAAAATAAAATACTTAACCCGCTTGGGTAGAAAAAGGGGGGAAAATGACAGGATTTCCACTTCTAACCCTATACAAAATACCTTTATTTGGACATAAGCTGATCCATCTGTGTAAGGAAACTGAATGGTGGCAAAACTTTTCTGTCCCTCAGGCCAGCTAGAACAAACTGCCACATCCACGTTATTTCATTTTCCTAGTTTCCAGGAGAGGGATTGCATCTAAACTGTCCAGTGGGAATGGCCTCTGGGCTTGGCTGAGTTCCAAATTCACTCAGAAGTTTGGGAGATTGGCAGCAGCTTAAAGCCACATGAAGGATTAGTCCCATTATTTAACAGTAGAGACATCACGTTCCTGAGCTGTGGCAGGTTATTTTAGGGGTACAAACCTTCTCTTTGCACCCACAGAGCCTGTTAATTTTCCCCCCAGAAAAATCTCAGAAGGAGTGAATCAACCTGCTGCACAGTTAATAAGTACTTTATTAGTTTTGTCCTGAAAATAGGCACCACAGGATTCTCTGCTCTGTAACTCCACGAAAAGGTTACTCTGATGAGATGTTTTTTTCCTTCCAGTGGCAACTGGGAATGGGTAAGGAAATGAACCCATGCCCTGAGGGCCAAGTTGAGTCATCTTTTTTACATGATCCCACCCTGGAAAGCTTTTCAGCCCAAGCTTTTCTGACACTGGAATTCCAGCACTTCCCTGTTTGTTAGGTAGTGCCACCTGATGATGGAATCACTGACCTAAACCTGTAATCCTCAGCCTGCAGTGGGAGAGCTGAGTGCCAAAAAGCTGAGATCCACTCTCCCACACTAAGCCCTAATGGGAAGAGAGGACCAGCAAACCCAGTTTTTAACAGAAATTCCCCAATAAAAACGTTCTGTGGGGAAAACAAGCATCACAACTTAAATATCCTGACCAGAGACACGACACTTCAAGCCTATTCTCCAAGCTACTTGTACCAAAAGGAGCATTACACAGCAAAGGGTTCCCACAGCGCTTCCTTTTCCACATTATATCTTCCAGGGAAAGGCGCAGCAGCACCGCCTTGTGCCTGCAGGGAGGAATTTCACTCCCAAAACGTGCTGGCACTTGCAATTGGGCAGGGAAGTGCATCCCTATGTCTGCCAGGGATTGGAAAAAAAATCCTCTGACAAACTGAGTGAGCACTGCAGGAATATTATTGTGCTTTTTAAAGCCATTTAGTCCAGGCAAGAAAGTCATATGTTATTTCTACAGATGGATATTCCAAGGCACATCACAGACACAGCCAGGATGTTGTTTCAGCATCTTAAGATGGGAAAGGGACACAGATTTCATCACTGAGTATCCCAGCAAAAGAGCCAGGAATCAGAGGATGGTTTGGGTGGGAAAGACCATGTAGTTCCAACCCTGTTCCACTATCCCAGGTTGCTCCAAGCCCTGTCCAACCTGGCCTTGAACACTCCCAGGGATGGGGCAGCCACAGCTTCTCTGGACAACCTGTGCCAGGGCCTCATCACCCTCACAATAAATAATTTCTTCCTAACATCTAATTTAATTAAACCTGCCCTCACTGGGTGCTCACCTAGAAAAAAAGGAAAAGAAAGGTAAAACTACACAGAGGGTATTTGAATGTTGGCAAATCAACCCCCACTGGGCCTTTCCCTTCCGACCTCTAATTGCAACCCAGCCCTGGCAACTCCAGCAGCTCTTTAAGAACAATGAAGTTTTTCAGCTGACTTTTAATGCAGTTTGAAACTGGCTGATGGCCAGTAATGTAACATTTGATCCTGCAGCACAGCTGCAGGCAGAGTTTGCCGGATGAGTTTTGCCAGCTTAAGCAAACTGCCAAAAAAACAAGTTTCAGAGCTTTGTGCTCCCACGGGTCACAAGGGGATTGTGACCAGGAATTTTCAATGTGCACCCAAATTTGTTCTCAGTGACTGAAAACTTAAAATAACTGAGTAAAGCAGGGAGAAATGCAGCTTTCATGGAGCATTTTGCATCAGTGACCCAGGCAACAGCTTTAGGAACAAGACAGCCTTGCTCAATGAACCTGCCTCTGTGCTGACTCACTGTGTCCCTGGGCAAGTCACTTCAACTCTCTGCCCAGCACTTTGCAGGTTTTCCCACCAGCTACACCTTCCTCATCTTCCCATGGCTCAAGTTGGAACTTGGGTAGGATTTAGTTACAAAGGCAGAAAGGAACTTTTGGAATTTCCCTGTGATATGCTCTTCTACCTCTTGAGGACTTGAAGGACAGCACCAAGTGCTCTGTGGCCTCAGACCATGATCAGGGCTCCAGGGCACAAGGAGAACTTACACAGCAGTTTAAAAAAGGTGTTTTTAAATATCAGGTTCAAAATTTTAACCTCAGCTGTCTAGGATTAGAAAACCTTCTTGCTAACTGATTTTCCTCCTCACCTTTCTGCATTTCCTCTCCTAGAAAACCTTCAGTGCTCAAAGGTTAAGAATAAATGAATGAAGAGTTGCTAAATTCACTAAGCTCCAGAGAGTTGTTCAGATGTATGATCTGACTTAAACCTGAGACTAACTAAAGGAGAGGTGATAAACCATTGGATAAACCCATTCTTTCTGTAAGCTCACACCCACCACAACTTCATTTTTACAAACCAAAGTCAAGCTGTACGAAGCTTTTCAAAAAGTAAAAAGCCTTTATAAATAGCCCTTTTGGGAAAGTTGTGGTTTCCCCACTTGTGTGCTCAACACCAGGGCTACAAAAATCACATTACAGCACCCTCAAAGCAGAGATGCATAACTCTGAGTCAAAAGCTATGGAGCAACTCTCCAAGGACAGGAAAAGGAGGTATTTAAGAAACCAGTGGAACATGGAAGCCAGGAGTGACAATTCACCATTAAAAGGAAGACAGAACGTTGCAACTGTGAGTGATTGTTGTGAGGCTTCAGACAGACTGGATAAAGAAACAATTGTTGCTGTAGTACAGCCCAGGAAAAGGTCCCACATATTGTGATCCTGGATAAAATAAACAAGAAAAAGCCTTTATTTGAGTCCTGAGAGCAAAACTGATCCACTGAGATATCTACATATCCAGGCAGAGAAACTTCAGCATGGTCATGGACGGCAACACATCCTTTGGCTCTCACTGATTTTGGGGGAGAAGGAGGAGTTGTCAACCTCAGCAAGGAGCCCAAATTGGGCCTCAGCTCATCTTTTAAGACACAGAATGGAAACTCTGCTAAGTTTCCAGCATCTGATTGAGCAAAGCATGAACCTACCTGTTTCACCCTGTCCATGGCAACTATTCAGTTCAGCCAGGAGCTGGTTGAAGTCATCCTGATGAGCAATCCAGTTGTCCTGTAAACATCACCCACATGAATACAAGGCAAAAGTCTTCAGAACTAACACAAATTCTGCTAAAACAGATATTAAGTAATAACTTAATTGGGTATATTCAATCCTTGTTGGTGGGAGGGACCCTGGGAAGCTCCACAGGGGGATAACACCACCAACAGCTCACACAGTCACTCCAAAGTGAGATAAAATTATAACGGTTGAGTTTGTAAGTCATAAACAATCCTGTTTGGTACATTCTACCACCAGATGTGACAACAGATTTCACTAATATTCTATTTAAAAATTTGTGTTTTAGATGAAACAGGAGCCATTCCCTCACCTGGGTCTAGTTCTCACCTCGTTGTTGATGTTTGCTCCTAATCCCAGCGTGTTGTTTTTCACCTTCACCCTGATGTGTTCTGGATTTCCTTGTTCCTGAGCCCCAAGACCCTAAGGAGGATTTAAAGGTAAAAAGTAAGGATTTTACAGCAGTGACTGAGCAATCAGAGCTTTTGTACTTTAAGACTTTGCAATGAAATACAACAAGAAATCACAACTTACTATTTATTTTCCTGCCTGAACTGAATTCATTCACAGGCTTTAGCACACGAGATACTCAGTTTTTAAAATTTACTACTTAAGCCTCCAGCAAAGTATTATAAACACTAAAATAGCAACAACATTAAGCAGTTGGGTGATTAATCAGGAAGTCACCTGACATTCCTAAGCAAGCCCAGAGTGTTTACTGTTTTAAACCAAGACACTACATATACAGAAGAGGCCCCTCCCCTAAAATACCTCTGTCACTGGGAAGGCAGATCCACATGGACAGTATAATCCAGAACAAGTTTATAAGGGAGGGAAACAGAGGAGGGGTAGGGGAGAATCAGGACATTAACAACTTTTTCTACCTCGTTCACACTCATAATTTGATGGAAATATTGGAGCAAACAACTATGGGAATTCTCTATCCTAAAACCCACAGTCATTCAAATCCGAGAAGCAATTCTCAGGTCCAGTGTTATCTTTCTTAACTGTGTGATCAGGGTTAAAAAAAATAAAAGACAAAGCATTTGGTTTATAACTTTATTCCTGGTATTCACCTACTTTTTGCCTAGTTTGTCACCAGTAACAAACTACCAGCCAAGTGTGTTGGCTTTAATGAACATGGATGTGGAGCAGCAATGGGGAAAAGCCCTGTGGAGAGATCCTGGGATATCTAATATTTAAAGGAATGAGACATATTGAAAAAAGGCTGTTGCTATTACAAATCCACTTGAGTTCATCTGGTCCCTGGGGTGGAAAATTTGCCTTGAAACTCCTGCTACCCAAAAAAAAGTGTGGGAGCAAACAGGCCACTCAGCCACACATCCTGCCCTGACCCAATTCCAATACAACTGATGACAGGACTAGTGTAAGCAGCTTAATTGCACTGCAGAGATGGGCTTTTGCCCATTAATTTGGTCAAGGTGAGGTTGCATTTGTTTGAGTTTGTAGTGGAATGGAGAGAGAAATCCTTCTTGCACAGCTGTAACCATTGGAAAGGAAGATCCAGCAGCTCAAGTGGGAAACTTGTGAAGCAACTGAAGCAACAGCAGCTACACTGAGAATTGTGAGAACAGGCTTTAAAGCATTCACAGGATGGAGAATGATCCTAATTTTATTTCTGTTAAAGAAAGTCTGGGTGAGAAAATATAGGAGGAGAATTAAATAAAGGTAGTGGGGGTTTTGTGGGCATTCTTAGCACTAAACACGCTGATGGGCAGGCCCAGATCTCAGCTTTGCTGAGGTATCTCTGTGGAATTAAAAGTGGTTTTAGGGGGCAGCTGAGCAGTTGGCAGGATAACCCAGAGTCTATTCTTAGTGCCAGAAACCAGTGCCCTCACCCACAGGTACTGGCTGGAGCTGGGAAGGGATTCAGCTCCCAGAATGCTGCATTTTGGGGGTTCGAGGAACAGATCGGAACACTTAAAAACGGGTGAAAGATTAAAGCAGGTCCTGGAGTTGCTTTAAATCAAAAGTAGGGAGAAAACTGAGAGCATAAGAGCAACTTAAAAGACTTTAACCATCACCTAATTTAATGTGCCAACTCTTGCTCCTATTTGGGGACATTAACTTGCCAAAGAAGGGAGAAAAACTGTAAAGCAGGAGAGTCAAAACCAGGCCTTTGCAACAAAGCGTAGAAACCCAACATTGCTCAAATTCTCTGTGCACTTAAGAGAATAAATCAGAGCTCCCTGGCAGTTTTAGACCCTTCAGATACAGAACTCTCCTTTGGATCCTACCTTTCCTTTGGACCAGCCCATCTTTTCCAGCATCTTCTGGCCGAATTTAGAGTCATCTTTACTCCAAGCGCTGTTCCGTGGATCCACGGACCACTTCTGCTTTCTCCGGGCTGGGACAGGGAGGAAAAATTCAAACAGGCTCTAATGACATTTCCACAGTATTGAATCAGTTCAACTCCAGCTCTTCATTGCCAAAAAAAACCCCCAGAACTTACGCCAGGCGGAATATATTTGGGGGTTAAGTTTACTTAACAGAAAACCCAACGATAACAAAAAAAGGGTGGTGAAATTATTATTTATTAATGTGAAGAATGCCAAAGGAAAATTGATATCACAGAACCACAGAATGGTTTGGGTTGGAAGGGGACCTTGAAGATCACTACAAACATCAAAGTTGGAAGCTGTTGTCCCTAGGGATAAGCTGCAATTCAGGGAAGGCTTCAAGGATTACCATGTAAGTGTACAGGCCTAAAATCCATATTTGCTCCAATTTTGGAAATCTGCGGGGGAGGTGATTACAGCTTTCCCAGTTCTGGACAAAATCCATTATCCAGTCTCCCTTTTAACCACAACACAGAAGTTTTAATACTTGCCTTCACAAAAAAAAAAAAAACAAATCAAAAATGAAATACAAATACCCAGAGATGACAGAACACAAAGCAGTGAGATTTCAGCTTCTGGATTTGCCAAGAATGGTTTACTAGGAAACTTATTGGGAAATTTATTGAGAAAAGCCACCAGAAACTATTGCAGGAGTTAAGAGATCCAAAGGAGAATCAAAGCTCCTTTGTCCTATGCAGATTCCTAAAGAAACTCCAGTCCCCCAGGCCCACGTGCATGTTCTTGCCTCTCCCACCAGGAACAGCTTCCTGGAAATCAAGGAGGAAAAGCCAGCTCAGTTAACAAGGCACTTCAAGTGTGCACCTAAGCACAGGCAGGAAGAGAACCTAAATAAACAAGACAAACAAAGGATGGGAGACAGGAAGATCACAAACTTCATTAACCACCATGGGAAACGGGGGATCAAAAATGACCCGTTCACCCAAGGCCACACAAAGTCAGGGAGAAGCCAAACTCACTGAGGTGTTTTCAACGTAATCAGGAAATCATCGTTCCCTAAAACACCAGATTTGGGATCTGGGCCAGAGGGACTGAATACTACGGGGATGTTTGACTCATTTTGTGCCCTGTTTAGTTTTGCTCTTAAAGAACCAGCACTGTCAGATGCACAGTGGGGGCTTTTTTTAACAAACTTCCAAAGCTTTGAAGCTCAAAAAGATCCATAAAAAGATTTTACAGCGGATTAAATGAACAAGAGCTGTGAGAGGAGTTAACAAGGCCTTTGCTTCGTTCACTTCTGCACAGGAAACAACTTATTAACCTTAAAGGCTGTGGCTGCCCCATCCCTGGAAGTGTTCAAGGCCAGGCTGGACAGGGCTTGGAGCAACCTGGGGTAGTGGAAGGTGTCCCTGCCCATGGCAGGGGGTTGGAACGAGATCATCTTTAAGGTCCTTTCAACCAAACCATTCTGGGATTCTATGATTATTCCCACCAGGCAGCCTTCAGAGCAGCATCTACTCCAAGTCCTGCCTGTGCTGCCAACAAAAGGTGGGGAAGCAACAAATGAAGCAACTCCACAGGCTTGGAGCAGCCCTGGTGTGGCAGGAGGGCCAAGGAAGTGCTTGTCCCTGTGCTGGCACTGCTGGGGCACCTCCAGTGCTGGGGGCAGCTCTGGGACCCTCAGACAAGAGAGACATTGAGGGGCTGGAGTGTGTCCAGGGAAGGGAACAGAGCTGGGGAAGGGGCTGGAGCAGCAGGAGCAGCTGAGGGAGCTGGGGGGGCTCAGCCAGGAGGAAAGGAGGCTCAGGGGGGACCTTCTGGCTCTGCAAATCCCTGACAGGAGGGGGAAGCCAGGGGGGCAGGTTGGGTCGGGCTCTGCTCCCAGGGAACAAGGGGCAGGACCAGAGGAAACAGCCTCAAGTTGTGGCAGGGGAGGTTCAGTTTGGATATTAAGGAAAAACATCTTCATGGAAAGGATTTTCCAGCCCTGGCAAAGCTGCCCAGGGCATTGGTGGAGTCCCCATCCCTGAAGGGATTTCAAAGCCATGTGGATGTGGCACTTGGGGACATGGGTCACTGGTGGCCTTGGCAGTGCTGGGGAATGGCTGGACTTGATGATCTTAGAGCTCTTTTCCATTCTTAATGACTCTGATTCCAGGATTCTACCAGAGGTCATGCTGCCCAGCTGAGCAGCTGCCCTCCTTTCCAATCATATTTCTTCATCTCTACCTCTAAAATCTCTCAGTTAACATCAACTTTCCCTCACTCAGCCATCAAAAACTATTCAATGCCTTTTTTTAATTTTAACAACATTTTAAGGATGGCCATACTCTCTTACACTCTCTGTTACCAGCTCCCTGGGTGGTGACTTTGCAGATCCCAACTCCTGCAGTTGTCAAACCACTGCATCTTTCTAATGATTTGTCTGCACAGTGAAGTGACCCATGACAACTGAATGGTTGAATTTAAATTAACTTCCAAATCGAGTTGTTTGAGGTAGTCCAACTAATCCACTTTAAAATTCACTTTCTATTATTTTTCCTGAATATTTCCCTGTGCAGAAACCCCTGAGATGTTTCACTCTCAAGACATTTGTAACAAAAAACACAAGGGCACCTGTAATAAATATTTCTTAAGCTTGAAATTAAGAGACCTTCCCTTTCCCAGCACTTGCAATCCATGTATTTCAAACTTCTTAACTACCACTGTGGGATTAATCGTCACATTTCTACAAGGTTGACATACTCTTATTTTTACACAGGATAAGACAAATGCAGGAAAAACCCCCAAACAAACTTGCTTACACCTTTAGAGAAGAATTTAAGGAAGTTGGAAATAGCTCCATGCCACCTACAGGAACCATAAAATCATCCTCCCTTTCCAAGAAAACAACAAAAAACACTGTTTAGTCAATAATTTATCAGAAATGTTTGTTCACCGATGTCTTGAGAGCAAGAAAGGAAACAAGGTACTGACTTCCAGCTAAAAGATTCAGCTCATAATTTAACACCAACCTTCTGGGCTGCTTGTACAGTGATGCAACTCTGGGCGAGCAGCACCATCCAGTGGAGAAAACTGTCATTTCTTTATAGAACCACAGAATCATTCAGGCTGGAAAAACCCTCTGAGATCGTCGAGTCCAACCATTCCCCAGCACTGCCAAGGCCACCACTAACCCACACCCCCAAGTGCCACATCCACATGGCTTTTAAATCCCTCCAGAGATGGGGACTCCACCACTGCCCTGGGCAGCTGCGCCAGGGCTGGACAACTCAACCCCTTCACTCAGATATCCTACAATTTGAAAAAGATCCATTATTAAACCCTTTTACCAAGACTAATTGTGGGCCTGGAGCGTGGTTTTAACTATAATTTCTGAAAGTTCCCACCCAAACCCCTGCTGTGTGCCCATGGATGGTCAGGGCTCACAGGAAAGACAAGGCTCTGGAGACAGGCTGGGAGAGCTGGGGGTGTTCACCTGAAGAAGGATCCCAGGAGACCTCAGAGCCCCTTCCAGAGCCTAAAGAGGCTCCAAGAGAGCTGGAGAGGGACTTGGGATAAGGGCCTGGAGGAACAGGACAACGAGAATGGCTTCCCACTGAGAGAGGGCAGGGTTAGATGGGATACAGGGAAGGAGTCCTTCCCTGTGAGAGTGGTGAGCCCCTGGCACAAGTTGCCCAGAGCAGCTGTGGCTGCCCCATCCCTGAAGTGTCCAAGACCAGGTTGGACAGGGCTTGGAGCAACCTGGAATAGTGGAAGGTGTCCCTGCCCATGGCAGGGGGTGGATTGAGATGAGCTTTAAATGTCCCTTTCACCCCACATTACTCTATGATTACTGACATGTGCAGTGTCCAATTAAAATAATGAACAAATCCTGAAAAAATGGCACCAAAGTTTACACCTAAAATAACCAGAAAATCACATATGCAAACGTAATTTTGTTTTCCTCACTTCACACCCGTATTTTCCAGTGGAAACCATAATTTTTAACTCCTCATTATAGTCCCTATTTCCTGCCGTCAAGCAAACAAATTCACCAGACTCTGTGCTCTCATTTTAAGGGTGTTTTGACAGCAGTAATTTTACTGAAAGCACCTAAGAATCTTAACAATACTCAGAGATGAGAATATTAGTCCCGTTACATAAAAATCCAGTTGAGTCGTGTTTTTACTCATACAGTTTTACATTTAACAGAAAAGACTACTTGGAATGCACCTTTAACTTGGCAGCAAACATTTGTAGTTCCTACTCTGGACAGCCCTGAGAGATTCTGTTTCCTGAACTTCAGAGACAGAGTTATCTTTATATTCTTTCTCTTTCTCTCTATACCTGGGAGCTACCAGACAGGATATTCATCCAATATTTCCTTCACCCTGGGAGCCCCTGGACCCCATTCCTGGCTTTTGCAGCCCCTTGACCTGCTGTTCTTCAACACGGGAGACCCCCTGAACCCTGTCCTGGCCATGCCAGGTCTCCCAGACCCCAAACTCTCCTTTCCCTGATGCTGGGAATGCCTGGACCCCCATTCCTGCCTTTCCCAGACCCTAGACCCCCTGAACCCCATTCCCAACCACTTTGGGTCTCCCAGACCCCAAGCATCCAATCATCCATTTCCTTGATCCTGGGACCCCTACATCCTCATTCCTGCCTTTCCCAGACCCCAGAGCTTCTTTTTCCTTAAGACTGGGACCACTTGGACCCTCATTCCTGCCTTTCCCAGACCCCAGAGCTTCTTTTTCCTTAAGACTGGGACCACTCGGACCCTCATTCCCACCTTTCCCAAACCCCAGACAACAGGTTTTTCAACACCAGGGACCCCCCGAGCCCCCTTCTCGTCCAGCCCGGGCTCTCCCCACCCCATGACCCTCCTTTCCCCAACACAGGGACCCTCTGCACTCCCATTCCCGCCTTTCCCAGCCTCCAGACCCCCGTTCTTCAATACCAAGGGCCTCCTGAATCCCCTTCCCAGCCATCCCGAGTCTCCCAGACCCTAACCCTACACTTCCTTGATTCTAAGACTCCCTGGACCCCCATTCCTGCCTTTTCCACCCTCCAGGCCCCCCGTTCTTCAACACCGAGGACCCCCTGAAGCCCTTTCCCCACTATCCCGGATCTCTCCGCCCCATGACCCGCCTTTCCCCAACACTGCGGACCCCGAGACCCCATTTCCCGGGCACAGGGACCCCCCATCCCGCCTCTCCCAGCCCCTGCACCTCCTTCCCTTGACTCTGGGACCCCCCTGAGCCCCCTTATCCGGCACCGCGACCCCCCCGCACCCCTCGGGAGGGGCAGCGCAACCCGGGCCCCTCAGCGAGGGCTGTGGGGAGGGTCGGGAGCCGCTCCCCGTCCCCACTCCCGGGACATTCCCGGGACATTCCCGCCGGGATCGCCACTCACGCTCCGCCAGCATCGCCATCTTGGGGGCCTTCCTCCCCCCACAGGGACTTTTGTCATCTCCGGCGCGCAAAAAGGGCGTCTCATTAGAGAGCTTTTTAAAACAGGCGAGCGCAGCGGGCACCAAAATGAAAACAAGAGGGCGTAAACTTGCTAAAATTTTAATAAATGCGTTAAAACACGGCTCAGTTGCGTGTCGGGTGTTCCCGCGGCCAGGGGGAGGGGATGAGCGGCGCTCGGTGCGTGGTCGAAAATATGGGACACGGACAGTCTGAATATTCCAGGGGATTGAGGGTGTGAATGTCCCTGAATTTCCCCAAATCTTCCTGTCGTGGGAGGGAATGTGAAAGGGGACACACGCACACCGAGGGCGCCCTGTGCAGCATCCTCTGCCCGCCCTGCTGTGATAAAGCTCAACTTGTCATCACTGAGCTCCTGGTACAAAACTCCTTAAAGCTGTCAAAGAGCAGCAACTTCACAAAGTCATGGAATGGTTTGGGTTGGAAGGGACATTAAAGATCACCCAGATCCGCCCCCTGCCATGGGCAAGGGCACCTTCCACTATCTCAGCTTGCTCCAAGTCCCATCCAATCTGGCCTTGGACACTTCTAGGGATGGGACAGCCACAGCTTCTCTGGGAATTCCATCCCAGCCCCTCATCACCCTCACAGGGAACAATTTCTCACCAATATCCCATCTAACCCTGCTCTCTGGCAGTTTTAAGCTATTCCCCCTCGTCCTGTCGCTCCAGGCCCTTGTAAAAGTCCCTCTCCAAACTGAAGTATCCTCAGGCAAATTACATATTTTGTCTCATTTTCAAAGTGTTTAAAGATCCTGTTATGAACACAGATATTCCCTCCTACAATATCGCCTCAGTGCTTCTTGTCTTACCCACCTCTGATGTGGAAAAAGAGGATTTTTTCCTTTCTGCAACAAATTGTATTTGAAGACTGAACCAACCCCTCTTTGATTACTCACTAAACCAAACCACTGCTATTCAGCAATCTTTTCATGCAGATCTTATTTTTGAGCCCTTTGTCATTCACATTTTCTGGTTTTTAGCTACTCCTCAATTCGTTTTATTAGAAGAACAGCACCCAAAACCTGCCACGCACTGCTGAGTTCTCCAGAGCACTTAACTGGAGTTGTAGGCAGATTCCTGTGTTTTCTCTTTGGCTACATTTTGTATCCAAGTGTAATATTTTGTTCTTTAATATCCCTTTCAGAGAAGGGGTAGTTTATATTCCATTCCTATTAAACTGGCTGCTCTGGCTGCCCCACTCCCTTCTTTAAAGAAGGGTATCAATCTGGTGCTTTCATGCTCTTCTAAGGCCACATCCAGCTGTCAGGAATCCTCACAGTGTTTGTTCTCCCCGCCGTTTATTGCCAGTTCTCTGCACTTTCAGGTCAGATTCATCAGGCTTGACTGATGTGAAAACAAATAAATACCTCCTGGTCCTTCATGGCCTGAGAGACAAGTCTTCTCCCTTTCAAGTTTCACTTAATGTTTTCCACCAGGAGGAAATCCCTGGAGATCAGAATCAACCATGGAAGAGCCGCCTTTGGTTTCTTTTTGTCCTGTCCTGACAAAATTCACATCCAGCAGAGACCTGCTTGGGCACTCTAGGACAGGGTTCACTCTACCTCCCTTATTTGCTTTGTAACCTGAATTCCCGGTGCCCATCTTCTAGCCCAGAGGGGGTTTTGGAGTCCAGCTGATCCTCTGGATACCTCTAGTGGAATCCCATCAGCCTTGCTGCCTTCCTAAGGGATGAACTCTCATCTCACCACCAGCTCTGTGTCACCTTGTCCTCTTTCTAGTGCTCACAGGTCACTCACAGGGATCTTCACAGACTTATTAAGGTTGGAAAACCCCTCTGAGATCATCCCTCAGCACTCTAAGGCCATCACTGACCCATGTCCCCAAGTGCCACACGTGGCTTTTGAATCCCTCCAGGGATGGGGACTCCACCACTGCCCTGGGCAGCTGTGCCAGGGCTGGACAATCCTTTCAGTGAAGAAATTTTCCCTAATATCCAATCTAACTCTCTCTTGGCACAACTTGAGGCAGTTTCCTTGTGCCCTATCACTTGTTCCCTGGGAGCAAATCCTGACCTCCACCTGGTTCCAAACTCCTGTCAGGGAGTTATAGGGAGTCTCCTCCTCCCCCTCCATCACCACCCAGGGATTCTCAGCAGTGGCCATTCTTTGCTGTCATCTGTATCTGAAACAGGAGGTGATGGATCCTCCCCTCCCTCATCCTTCTACCTGTATTCCCCAATCAAATTGCCCCTCCTGGCATTAACATCCATTTCCATGAATTTCATTTTCATTTTTCCTCCAGGGTATCTTTTACATCGACTAAATTGTATTGTCACCCATCCATCGAGTGTTTGAATGGTCACTTGTGTGAGCCACTTCACATCAGCCAAATTCTGCTCCATTTTTTTATTTTGGAGAGGTTTAAGTCTTCTAGCTGAGAGTTGAGTGTTATATTTGATCATTCCAATAGGTAGCAGCATTCCACACGTTTGGATCAGCTTTGCTGTTCTATAAAGACATCACTGGAGGTGGAAAATCTGAAGTAATTTCTGTTAAAGGATGCCCTGAGGTTCAGATTCATGTCTTGTTTGGTTTTGAAACTTAATATTCAACTGCATCAGAGCACTTCTAGTTCCAAAGCTCTTACTTCTGTCTTGCAAAGAACCACAACTCAAAACACAAAGGAGATTGTACCTGCTTCAATTATAATTTAATATTTGCTTAACAGGAGGCTTGAGGTCAAGGTCCAAATTGTTTTACACAGAGGCAAACACAGTTCTTGCAAATTAATAGTTTAAAACACATTTAAGTCCATGCATATGCACAGGGGCAGTGAAATTAGGCAATGTGTGTAAAGGGAAAGGTTCCATCCAGGGGCAATTGTTGTGTTTCCTAATTACACTCCTGAGTAAAAGCTGGTGTCACAGGAAAGAAAAATATATGGATGAATATATATATGTTTGTTTATGTATTTTCTTCCAAGAGAAATAACAGCTGCTATGGGTGAGTACAACCATCTGAGAAAATGGCCTGAAATCCTGTTTCCAGTGCGCTTGGAGAGGTTGAAATATAGCTCCTCTCTGAAAAAAATAAAGAGATAAAGATGCCTGGTGGGCATTTCATTCAGAGCTCTCCGGAGATTCCTCCCAAGGGTCTTACTTGAAAAGAAGTGTTTCCCGACAGCCAGCCCTGCAAAGATCACTCAGGGCTCAGGGCATTTTCCTCCTGGCACGTCACTATCGATCCCTGCTCTGTCAGCATCAGCTCCAGAGTCCCCACAGGCTTTGGGGAATTCCTTTGATGCCACTCGCAGGTTGAAGTGTCGGGATCTCAGGGAAAGATCCAGTTGGGATGAACAGAGCCAACAACACAGGGGAATTGAAACAGCAGGTAATTGGAGGAGGGTTGGAAGCACATCTGAGCCTGATACTCACCTTGACAACCCCATTCCACCTGGAGGAGACCCGTGGAAGGAAGGCAGAAGGGACAGAACTGTTTCCCAGCTGACAGGCAGCTCCCGTGCCACCAGCAGTCGGCCAGTGCCACCAAAAGCTCTACACCAGTCTCTGGCTACCTGAGGACACTGGTGTGGGATCCATGGACATATTATAATTCCTTTGGAGTTGTTGGGAAGACAGGCACTGGGAGGTGGGGCTCAGGTCTGCTAAGACTAGAGCCTGCAAGAGGTGTCTGGACCAGAGTGCACCGCCCCGAGTTCAAATGAGGAGCAAACAGCACCAATCAAAACGCATTTTCTTCTCTCTGTGCCCCATTCAAATGCCCCATCAACCAGGGGGATGTGAGGATGTCACATCCTCAGGGATGGGACAGGCAGGAGGCAGAGGAGGGGAGACCAGGAAAAGAGAAGTGGGGAGGAAAAAGGAGGAGAAAAACAAGTAAAGAAATAAGATGTGAATCTTGGCCCTGCAACAAGTCATTTGTGAGGCAAATCAGCCTCTGTTGTGTGATAAATGGCCTGAGGCCAGGCTAAAAATTCTTATTGAGGGAGTCCTGGGAGAGGTGTGATGGAAGCACTAGGGACAAGGACTGCCTGGAGAACTTAAAAGGAAAAGACAGGTTTGATTTAGGACGCTGATTCGAGGGAGCACTCGGATTAGAGGTGAGCTCCGGTATGAGGCTGTGAGAGCCGAGCAGAGGAGCCGCCCATCATGTGCCAGGCAGGGAGTGAGAGATTAACAACGTCTGACCCACGGAGCAAAGGATGTCAGAACGAGAGCCCGCAGCCAGGAGACGAGGGGTTCAGAGAACAGCCACTGGGGCAGGCGAGGAGCACAACCAGGCTCCAGGCGAGGGGCTGCTGCTCCTGGAAATGCTGCCAGCGAGGGGCTCGGCGGTGCTGTGCAGTGGCTGGCAGGCAACGCTGGAGGGAGTGTGGGCAAAGGAGGCAGCAGATGGAAATTCAGATAATTTTCCTTCTATTCCACTATGAGTGCAGTGTGTTTTCATTATTATTGTTGCTCTCGTTGTCGTTATTTCATCAGCCTGGGCTCTGTGGGATCAGAGAGCCACGGAATCATAGAATGGTTTGTGGTGGAAGGACCTTAAAGACCATCTCCTTCCAACCCCCTACCACGGGCAGGGACACGTTCCACTATTCCAGATTGCTCCAAGCCCTGTCCAGTCCCGCCTTGAACACTTCCAGGGATGTGACACTGAAGTCCTGTTGTAAGCAGTTTGTTATCCAAACAGAGAAAGGAGGTAGGAAGGAGATGGAAGAGCAGCAATGGTTTATAGAATTACAGAATTCCAGAATGGTTTGGATTGGAAGGGACCTTAAAGCTCATCTCATTCCACCCCCTGCCATGGGCAGGGACACCTTCCACTATCCCAAGTCGCTCCAAACCCCGTCCAACCTGGCCTTGAACGCTTCCAGGGATGGGGCAGCCACAGCTTCTCTGGTCACCAAGAGAGGCAAAATGAGGCACAGACATGATGTGAAAGTCAAGGCACTAACAGCTTGTGTTTCTCGTGAAGATATTTTCAGAT